TGAAGTCCACGAGTCATGAAGGGGCCATAGTTCCCCCATGCTGGCTCAGGGATTCTGGGAGTTGAAGTCCACGAGTCATGAAGGGGCCATAGTTCCCCCATGCTGGCTCAGGGATTCTGGGAGTTGAAGTCCACGAGTCATGAAGGGGCCATAGTTCCCCCATGCTGGCTCAGGAATTCTGGGAGTTGAAGTCCACGAGTCATGAAGGGACCATAGTTCCCCCATAGTGGCTCAGGAATTCTGGGAGTTGAAGTCCATAAGTCATGAAGGGGCCATAGTTCCCCCATGTTGGCTGAGGAATTCTGGGAGTTGAAATCCCCGAGTCATGACGGGGCCATAGTTCCCCCATGCTGGCTCAGGGATTCTGGGAGTTGAAGTCCACGAGTCATGAAGAGGCCATAGTTCCCCCATGCTGGCTCAGGAATTCTGGGAGTTGAAGTCCACAAGTCATGAAGGGGCCAAAGTTTCCCCCCTGCTGGCTCAGGAATTCTGGGAATTGAAGTCCACAAGTCATAAAAAAGCCAAGGTTGCCTACCTCTGGCCTAGAATGAGGTTAATTTCCAATATCTCTTACAGGAACCATTGGCTTTCCCTAAAGAAGTGTCTGACCCAGACAAAGCATCCTCCGATTTGCCTAAAGTGAGTTTTGACACGAAGAAAGAGAAGAAATTGAAGAAAAGGCCTCTCTTTAGCCCTGGGGGTGTGATTGTAAAAAGATTCTAAGAAAAACAAGTAGTAAACAAGTAGTAAACAGAGCAGGCATTTTACTCAAAGGAAAATTAAGTTCAGTTGGCTTCCCAGACAATCCTCAGCACGAAAGGTGAACTAACAATGCCAAATTCTTAACTAGTCAAAGCACGTCTTGTTTTTTGGCATCATAAATATATTGCCTTACCAGACTCTGAATTTGAAGGGAAAAAGTTTATTATGTATCACCTGTCCGTGTGCACAGGTCCACCTGTCGGAAATCAAGTGACATCTAAGCTTGCGTGGGTGTTGATTTAAGGAGGCATTTTTTTTATGGCCCCATGGCCTGTGTCAACTTCCTCCTTCAAATTCCAGATTAATCCAGACTCTCGAACATCATTTTTGTGCAACCTTTTAAATGTGAAATTTTCACAGCTCTCAGAATGAAATTCTTGTAGTTTGGGGGCAATCGTGCTTTTAATCTGTTTTGGGGTTTCCAAATTCGGAAAGGCTGCCTCTGAACCAGGTTGCCATTACAGGTAAGGGTTTTTAAAATGCACTACTAATTATTATACACTGGCTTGTCATTAAAGATTAACCTTTTTTTTAAAAAAAAGAAAACTTCCAATGCTTATGTTGCCCCTTAGCCAAGGCTCAGTGAACTTTCTGCTGTACAGTGGAGACGCTAATAAACTGAACAATTTAATATGAGTGATGCATCTGTCTTATTGTACATCAGTAAGTCCAAGAACTCTGGCAGGGATGGTTGAAAATACAAGATTTGTTTGCTTCTACATGGTAAAACGTCTTCTAAAAAGGGGAGAAATTGGGAAAAATGGGCTTACAAGAATTCAGAGGAATTGTTGAAGGTCATCCTGGTGATATGAGACCGGTTGGTTCGCAAAGTGTAGGAAGGGACTGGACAATCAAGCAACTCTGGAATAATTGTAGCCAAGTAGACAATCCAGAGGTGAACTCTAGTGGTCAGCAAATGTTTAATATTAAAACAGAGACTTCCAAGAACTTCAGTTTGTAAAATTCAGCAACAAGAATTATTTCTGAAGAAATTCAGCTTCCTTGTGCTTTGGGGCCACTGTCCCAACCCACCTCCCTTCAACGTGTCAAGAGTAAAAATGCAATTATTTCTCCAACATCTGGAAAGCACAATATGAGGCCAGACCGTTTCATAGAACTACAAAACACAATACTGCAATAAAAAACAAACAAACAATAACGATCTGTCTGATGCACGTATTTGAGGGGAATAAAGCAGCTGGCGATGCGTACTTAAATCTTCCCTTCGCAAAGGAAAACATCTGGCAGCTTTAAGCACCCTGCATTTTGTGGACAACGCACAAGATAAAAAGCAGAAAATACAGCTCTGGAAAGGCAGGTTTAAGTTTCCTGGGAATTCATGTGGCATTTTAAAGGATATCTTCAATAATAATAATAATAATAATAAATCCTTCCTTCCTCTCGCTCACATCAGAGCTTCTGAAACTGTCTTTTCAACGTGATATCTCGATATTCTGGATAAATTGGGAAAGTCTCAAAAAAAATCTAGAGCAGATTAGATCAGAGATAAGGTGTAGAAAACGTAGTATCCCTATTAAGGCTCCCTACTCAGGGTCCAGATTCAACTCATCCTTTTGAACTAGACTGGTGATGGGTACGTTGCCCTCTGCATGGAATTGAAAATCAGCCCTTGTCAATAGTTGTACATCAGGGGTCCCCAAATCCGAGGCTGCGGCACCGGTACTGGTCCATGGCGCCCCAAAAACTGGACTGCATAAGACCCATCTGTGCATGTGGGGATGCAGGCAGCATGCAAAATTACGCCCCCTTCTGGTCCACGGGAAAACCTCTCCACGGAACCGGTCCCTGGTGCCCAAAAGGTTGGGGGCCACAGTTGTATGTGGACACACCATCTTAGGTAAACACTCATTGGTTTAACTAATCCAATTCTATCGCGCAAAGCCAACCACTATGTGGCTTGTGTACTGTTGGGAGAAAGCAGGGGCGTCAAAAATATAAATATTAGATTTTTCTTTTGACAGCCCCCCTCCCCCTACAATGGAGCCATAACTTTGGAGCTTTTCTGTATTTGGCGGGGTGGGAGATAGGGTTGTTAACCACCTACATGCTTGTCTTCCAGGCCTGTCTTGTCATTTTTGGAGTGTGTCGATGGCTACCAGGGAAATTTAGCACTGTCGTGGAATCAGCAAAAGTTCTGAATATCAGACAACCAGCACCTGCAGTCTATAAACCCCCAGATTTATGATTTCGTGTGTTGGGTAAATCCAGCTAATCAAGACTCATTCAATAAGTTATGGCTAACACGCCCGAGTGTCACGTTAGTTTGTAAGCGAGTTGTGTTATGCTGGTTAAGTGTTTTGACTTCCCCAAAACAGCCAATTGGTTAAAGCAGGGGTAGGCAACCTTGGCTCTTTTATGACTCGTGGACTTCAACTCCCAGAATTCCTGAGTCAGCGTAGCTGACTCAGGAATTCTGGGAGTTGAAGTCCACGAGTCATAAAAGAGCCAAGGTTGCCTACCCCTGGGTTAAGGTGAATCTAAACAACCCTTGATAAGAGAAGAAGCGTAATCTAGCAAGAGCATCACAGATTAACAAATGCACTCAGTAGTTAACTTCTACCGGATCACCACAAAAGAGAATCCAAAGACTGCGGCATTTTGAAATTGCTCTGGCTTTCCTTCTGCCTTACCAACGGTGCTAAGCTAAATTTTAAAAGGCACCTTGGCTTTTTTTTTTTGCTTACCGTAATTGAAAAAGGCCAAGATTTAGCAATAAAGCACCTCTTGATTCTCACAAGGTCCCAGCGTTAGTTTCAGTCAACAACTGTAGAGAACAGAACTGAAGGCTATCCTACATCAATGTTTCTCAACCTTTTAAGATGAGTGGACTTCAACGCCCAGAATTCCCCCTAGCCAGCCTTGTTAAAATTGCTCTAAGGTTGAGAAACACTGTCCTAGATCTTTCGGCCTTTTCGGAAACTATTATATATTTATTTAATTTTTATGTCACCTATATCCCCATAGAAGGGACCCCCCGGGCGGCTTATAGATCCTCCAAGCCTCCATGCCTCTCAGTTCCCGGAATTCCCAGCAAAAGTCAAGGCGATTAAGAGAATTCTGGGAGTTGAAGTCCACGCGTCTGGAAGC